CATTTGTACGCTGGATTTACGGTGCACAAATGTTCACAAACTGTGAATACAGATGGTGCTACTTTGCCCTCAATTATATGTTACTTGTGTAACAGGTTCCTGGACAAGATCCCGCATATGAGTTTTTTAACAAGAGTATTCAGTTTGTACAGACTGAAACAATAAATGAATCTTACATAAAGAGGGGTTGACCAAATCAGTTTTTGGGCCACGGGTGGGCAACCGGCGGTCCGCGGACTGCATCCGACCCACGATCAGTTTTAATCCAGCCCATGGAGGGAACCAGATAAAAACCCACCTGTTTTTTTTGCGTTTTTGCATCTTAGGCGAATGCAAAACGTATAATTTCGAGAGCGTTCCGGTGCGACGCTCTTTCCCGCGGATTAAACTGCAGAACAACAAACATTCATACTCTTAACGATCTGACTGCATCAAGTTCAACGCAAAAATACATGATCGTACGGGCGAGTCCAGTGCATTGCCACCTGGATTTTATTAAAAGGTGGCCCGCGAACTCAAGAAAGTATATAAATCAGGCCCGCGTGTTGCCGAAGGTTGCCCATGGCTGTATTAGACGATGATTCTTGTGGTTTATTGGAATCAAAACGCCACATTCCGCGCGTGAGGTACCCGTGGAACTCTCAACCCCAATTGCTTACACGCACAGTCAGGTAATACTAGCTAGAATGCTTAGCTCAAAACACTTTACAAAAGGGAACAGTGAAAACAGGAGAGGCCGAACTTTTAGTTTGAATCCTTTGTCATTTCGAATGATGAGGTAGTGTGCTATGCCGGTCGAATTGTGGCTGAATGGTACTCGAACACTCAGTGCTAGACACCTCCTTCTTGATTCTGAAAGTCGGATGACGAATGCACCCTCGTCCTGCTCCATAAGTGCTGCTACTACTCGATTCCTGTAATGTGAAACTCGAGATTCTCGAAAATATTTGATACTGCACACCATTTCTGGTTAGCTTGGGGTTAACTGTGGCGGAAACAAGACAAGTGCACCGATGTTGTTTCTAAAACATCCATTTTTATGAATTAGGATTTCAGGAAAATCGAAACCCTATTGTTCGGGCTGTTTCCCCGCCTCTATGCCCCACTTGTCATATGGCTTACACATCCACATTTAAACCTATGAGTACAGACAGATTTACTTTTTGAGCAACGTCACAAAACAAGTCTCATAAAGCATGCAGTTA